TGTGACCCCTAAATCTTTTTCAGCGTCACGGCGTCCCAGGGTAGAGGCCCCATCCTGCGGTCTTTGTTCTTAGCTATATACATTTAGCCATATTAAAAACACACATTGTTGGCTTGCGCCCATTTTACCAAGAAATCCAGCTCGCTCTGTATCCTTGGCCTGTCCTCTTCATTATTTACTGCACCCCAATTGTTGGGTCCGCTGTAAACTTTATCAGTGATGATTTCATTTTTTCTTCCAGGTCCTTGGTAAAAATGTTCAATAGCTTAAGGCCAAGAACCAGTCCCTGTGGGACGTCATTGGAAACACACCCGCTCAATGACGATTCCTTGTTTAAAATTAAATTTTGAGGCCTAGCAGTTAGCGTCCTAACAAGTGTTATATGCCAGGTCTATAGGGGGAAAAAATCCCCTTGTTTGTTTTGGGTCCAACTGAAGGCCTCTTTGGAGATTGTGGCACCTTAGAGACTAACAAATTTATTAGAGCATAAGCTTTCGTGGACTACAGCCCACTTCTTCGGATGCATAAGAGATACAGACTAACACGGCTGCTACTCTGAAACCTGTCTTTGGAGATTGTGGATTAAGTTCTCTGGTGTCCTTTAGAAGGACTGCTTTTGCCCCAGGCTAAATTCACGCTCCTGCTTTTCTCCACAGGAGTTCATACAGAACATCACACAAGGGAAATATCCCGTTTGGATTGGGCTTAATGTTACATCCCCAGAGGAGAAATGGACCTGGGTGGACGGCTCCATCTTAAACCAAAATCTGTGAGTGTTTCTTGCTGTTAAATATTTCATGTGTGTCTTGAGGAAAGCTTATCATTAAGTAACTGTGGATGTTTGCAGAGTCAGAGAGAAAGGCTGGCCTTGAACTGGGGCTCAGGCGATCTGGATTTACAAATAGACTCCCTGCGTGACCTTGGCCAAGTCACTTAAACTCTCTGGGCCTCCACTCCCCAGTTGTCATAAGGAATAATTATTCTTTGGCTGCTTTGTGTATTTAGATTGCAGGCCTCTGGAGGAAAGAACTGCCTCTTGCTAAGTGTATAGATAAAACGCCCAGCACAATGGATCCTGATACTGGTTGAGGCCTCTAAGGGTACGTCTTCACTAGCCGCCGGATCGGCGGGTAGGGATAGATCTATTGGGGATCGATCTCTGCCGTCGACTCCGGAACTCCACCGCGGCGAGAGGCGGAAGCGGAGTTGACGGGGGAGCGGCGGCCGTCGATCCCGCGCCGTGAGGACGGGAAGTTCTAAGTTGAACTAAGATACGTCAACTTTAGCTATGCTATTTTCGTAGCTGAAGTTGCGTATCTTAGGTCGATCACCTCCTCCCAGTGTAGACCAGGCCTAAGCATTACTAGAACACACATAATACAGAGAGTCGGGGA